TTGCACAACTTTCCTGTTATTGTTTCATCTGTATTTGTAAGCTCATATTTCTAATTCGTCCATTGCGTTACCACATTCTCGTAACGCCAGTGAAGGTCAAATTCATACTGTTTGTCATCCTCCTAATTCCGCTTCTGATTAATATACCATTATTACCATGGCCGCATCCTTTGCTTGACTATTATACCTCATTTTGTTCTGATAATGATAACAGTTTCGAATGGCCAGGCATCTTACTAGTCGCTTTCTTCATTTCTCCCATGGCCATCGGCCTACTAGTCAGCACTACTGTTAACATCATCATCTTACGGCTAATATGCCAACAGAATCGTCGACTCGATGTGATTCCCATGATCAATGGAGCACCTAGAGTTAGACTTTGGCGTTTGCCTGGAAAGGGTGTCTTGACCATACTGATCTTGACTATCTCGTTTTATGTATGCTGGTTGCCATGGATATGTACGAAGGGTGAAGACGCTGGATATTCTGATTTGTTAATTGGTTCCAGTGGCTGGATTCAACCTTTACTTTATATTGCTACAAGTAAAGAAGCAAAAGAAATTGTTCGCTCATATATCTCCAAACTCAAAATTATTATTACACGTCAATGAAAACACTGCACATGTTGAATTAATCTCATACTCAAGAACTTACCTTTCAATTGCTTTTATTTTTCTTTGTTCACAAATTTCTATTTGCTTTAATATTTTATGAATATGTGTGGCATTTATTCTGTTAAACCATGATCACTATCAACTCTAGAGACATTGCATGTTTACGATAGGTGATATATATGTTCTAGTAGGCTAACTACCTTGTAGCTATTGTAATCGTGTACATTGATATGAGTTCATAATGGTATCATGGATGTAATATGTGCTTATCGTATTATAGGGACTTTTAGATTGAGTGGACGAGAACGGCGTGGACGTCCACTGATCATGCGTGTCTATGGCAAGCCGTTTTAACATTTATTCCTATTTCTTAATATCAAGAATTACCATTGCTTTAGAACAGAAATTCATTTCTTGATATCAAGAATTACCATTGCTTTACAACAGAAAATCATTTTTTTGATATCAAGAATCCAATTCTTGATATCAGGGAATAGGAATAAATGTTCAAAACGGCTTGCCGTGGACACGCATGATCAGTGGACGTTGATGCCGTTTTCGAACACTCAACCTAAAAGTCCCCAATGTCGAGTCATGGGGGAGGAAGCACATGACTGCCAGGGAGGAGAGCGTTCTAGCGGAGATGAAGAAAACATTTAATTTCACCTTTCTCTCCATTCCTACCTAACTTGTGTTACTCTTCTTTCTTATACCTCTCCTCTATTTTCTTCAATTACTACTTTTCTCTTTTCAATTCAAGCTCAACGTTTTTTGATGTTTGTGTGTGTCAATGATGCTGTCTTCAAAGTTTTGTTGAAGAAGCAATTGTTTTCAGAAGATTTTAGTTGTGTGTTTATGAAGTAGCACTTTTGGGACTTTGTTTTCATCACAGCGCTGTCAAGTATATTCATATAGTAGCTGCGCCATATATAAATTGATGTAATTACTGAAACATTTCGTTGTCATGGTTGTTACTTACGACATGATCGGGTCCGCGGCCATAACTCGTTATATCTATTTCGATATAGATCCATCTAATTCGTCTATTTGAACAAAGACAGGCACTGACATTGCACAAATATGACCACGCTATATCATTGTTACATTTATGACGTATTTAGATTAAAAACTAGGCTATTGCGTTTTGGTAATTTCCTGTCGGTGTTTGCTGTATGAAAAGTAAATTTGTTATACTCTTAATGTGTAGAAAAAAAATGGGCTGATGAAGTTGTTAACACATTAATTCTTAATTAGCTGTCATGTGGAGGGAAGCATCAAATGGGTGAACATGTTTTACCATTAATAAAAGACACATTTTTTTAATGAGCTTCGAGACCTTTTTCTCCATCGCAGCTTTGTATTGATTTTTGATATTTTATGTTTGCTTTCTATATTAGCCACATTTTGGCATAAGTGACTTTGTCTGTACTTTTATGTAAGTTGTACGATTTTTGGGGTTTCTTTTGTTGGTTATTTAAAAATGCCTGCATTATAATATGATCGTATAAGGTCAACTGATGGGTGTTAAGGAGCTGGTGGTTATATTTTGTATATATGTTTTCCCCCACAAGTTCTAAGTACAGGCAAATAAATATGCGAAAAAAAGAAAAACAAAATATTAAAGACAGCATGTAAATTACCCCCCCCCCCCACAAAATAAACAGTGTTACGAGGTTCTCATGACTGTTTAAACGAATTGTGATAATTGTATACATATTTTGATTGCCAATGTGCATGAAAAATTTTGCTCAGCTAGTAAAAGTGACGCATTCCATTTTCATAGTTTAAAAAAGACTTATCGTTAGCAAAGGAACCGTATCCATTCTTAGTATTTAGACGGGGTCATGAAATTACTTATGGCGTTGGTGCATGACCTGTTAAAAAAGATTGAATTCCTTTTTAGATTACACGAGAGTTTACATACTGGTGGAATATTTCTTTACGTCAGATGACAATATGCCATTTTCGTAATGTAACCAAATTTATGCATAGGCTATGCCTTTTTGAAACGCCTCTAGAAGAATTATTCCCTCTCTCTCTCTCTCTCTCTCTCTCTCCCTCTCTCCCTCTCTATATGTCTGTCTGTCTCTCTCTCTCTCTCTATCTCTCTCCCTCTTCCATGTTAAAAAAAGGATCATGGATCCGCCACGAAAAGTTGTGATGATGCATCTACTTTAAACTGAAGGCATTTATGCCGATCATTGTCAATCATCGAATGGTAAAGCATACTTGACTATTAAAAACCATTTCTTTAGCTATCTGCTGTTTATATGTTTGGAAGTTCACAATGTTTGTTGTTGGTATATATTGTGATAAAAGTTATGATCAATACATGATGTACTTATACATGATGTACTTATGTTTTATTTTTCTCATACTTGTATCATAGTATTCGTACATAAATTTTGTCGTAACAGAACTAATAATAATAATAATAATATTTAGTTTTTATATAGCGCTTAATACAAATGTCTCTAAGTGCTTTACAAATATACTAGTTCTTGTTATTTCTTCGTGTTTATCCAGCTTGTTTAATAAATGATAACAACAAATTATACGGAATGTGTTTTCCATGGTCTTTTTTCGTATCGACTGTGACGATTAAAATCTGTCATGTCGAGAAAAAAAATAATGGATACACAAGGATACAGACCCTCTTGAAAGCAGGATACGTGCTTCTCATATATACATATACGTCGATTTAATATGAAAATCTATCACGACACCATTTCAAGTGCCTAAAATCCAATCTTTGACATGTTAACCTTCTGAGACATGTATTACTGTATCTGACGACCTTTATTTTTATCGATGTAAAAGTAACTGTTATCTTGTCGAGAGAATTGGTCTGATACCGACCTATTCGATCTAGCGACGTGCATGTAGAGCGCTATCACACAAAGTAAATAGTTGGTATATTAGTTAGTTTAAACTCGAATTATTATCTCCTCCTCAAAGTTTTGGATATCGATTTTAAAGAATAAAAATGTACATGAATGATTGTAGGATTATTGAGCATCACATTAAAAGTATATATTACAAAATATTTATAGTTTGTATGCAATGTGATGACAGAATCCTGAATTTTACAAACTGCAGTACGATTATGGTTTGGATGTCTACTTGTGATACCCTGCATTAAAACTTATGTATATGAGAGGCCTCTTAATTTCAGAGATGTGTTTATTTCCACCTGTATCATCTATACAAATCTATACAAATCCCCCAAAACTTACAATTCATACAAAAAAAAATAACAGGACGCATTTACACACCATTGTAACTGATCACACAAACTTATTATTTATGCCTGTTTATATTAAAACATTGGAATAGTAAAGATTGAGACGCAGGCATTAATTCCTCGGGTAAGTTTTCGATTAGAAAGAAAGAGTAAAGCAAGTGAAAGAAGATAGAGTGTAGAGTTTGGGAGACAGAGGAAGAGGGGGTGGATATAGAGAGACAATGAGAAGGAGAAAAGAAGAGAGTGATAAAGAGACAGAGAGAGAGAGAGAGAGAGGGGGGGGGAGGGGGGGTGGGGTGGTGGACGATAGAGAGCCATATTGAGTGGAAGAAAGAAATGATGGAGCAGAAGCAGAGGTAGAAAAAAATCTTAATGAAAATGAATACATAACCCTACTCGGGATGACCACATATTCAATGAATATTCGTTTCTACATCTAGGCTAGGCCTATATATGCAGAACAATATGAAAGAATTATGTCTGAACGCCTGAAGGAAATTTAGCATGCAATAACAAATTATACATTTCTGAAGTTTTTATCAATCAAACCATGGATATACTGTCGCGAGAATATCTTTGATCAAAAACATATGGGCAAATATTTAATTTCCTTTTTTACGCACCTATCAATTGTTTTGGTCAATAAAATCTCTAATATCTGATTTCTGCAAACACATATTTCATCATACCTGTCTTTAGACACAATTATATACACATGATTTTCTTTAGTACTCTTGTTTATGTTGGGGCATGAAGTATAACACACATATGGTTCCCTCTGCATCTTCTTACAATAGTTTACTTGATAGTATTGTCACATGCATAGGGCGGACATTTTAGATACAAGAGAAATTAACGTCAGGGTCGAAGTAATTACATTTGTGTTTTCATGCCTTTTCTTAAGTTAGAATTAAACTTATACGTTTACACACCACCCTCTGAAATATATTTCTCTATCTAGAAGTAAGGAGAGTGCTGTTTGGGAAGGTCTTTTTCATTATAACTGTATCACGATCGAGAAGGGCATTTCTTGTAGGAATACAGTTACGCATGCGTGTAGAAAAAGGGAAATTCCCTTTCCCAGTGTTTCGACGTTGAGGGCTATTGACTTCGTGGGCGACGATTTGAGTTCAGTGCATAGTTCACTGTAGGCTATGTCCATTCAGCGCGAAAAGCAAAATTCGATGCGGTACTTCATGTTGTAATGAGATTCGCTGCCTTGGCCTTGTCTCTGCACTGCTCTCGATATCTACGTCTACTACCTCCTGTTTACAATTGTGTCAAAATGTCGTCTATCTCAAGACCAGCTAAACTGTCTTTTCTTGACTTCGATGCAGTCGGTGTGGATTTGGACCACACACTCTGTAAATACAAGCTGGATAACACCTTTTCGGTAAATCATTCAAGTTCTCACAATTTCCATTTGAACCCAATAGATCTAGTCTACTCTAGGCCTACTCGGCCGCAGACGAGCCTAGGTCTAAGTAATATTAATAAGCTTGCTATAAAGTAAATAGTCGTGATGATGATGATGATGATTTAGCGTAAACTCGATGAGGGTGTGAGAGTCGACTAAGGGCGTGTATTACTAAGTATTAGACCGAATTTTCCGTCTCTTTCGTTCGTTAGCCTGTTATTGGGGTATAGAGTCTAGACCGAATTTTCCGTCTCTTTCGTTCGTTAGCCTCTTATTGGGGTATAGACCGAATTTTCCGTCTCTTTCGTTCGTTAGCCTCTTATTGGGGTAGGGTCGGCCGGCTCTCTCTTTAGAGACGGAAACCGTCTATACACATTCCCTTGATAACGCCACGGCCATTTCAGGTCGTAGCGTTTTGCCCCCAAAATCCCCCAAAATGTCATTTTACCTCGTAGGCCTAGGCTATAATACATCGGTTCAACTTACTAATTTGATTGAAATAATCCGTTTAATGGTCCCTTTTAAGGAAATTATGGGTCAAAATCGACATCCATGTCGAAAATCTTGCAAGCCGTGTTAAACTCTCGCTGCCGGAGTCATCTAAATCAATCTCATCCCTTCTAGTCTACGCCGAAGGCAAAATGATTATGAAGGAAAAACTGTGCGCCATCTACACGTTCGTAATGGCGTTATCACAGTTTTTCCTTCATAATCATTTTTGCCTTCGGCGTAGACTAGAAGGGATGAGATTGATTTAGATGACTCCGGCAGCGAGAGTTTAACACGGCTTGCAAGATTTTCAACATGGATGTCGATTTTGACCCATAATTTCCTTAAAAGGGACCATTAAACGGATTATTTCAATCAAGTTAGTAAGTGGAACCGATGTATTATAGCCTAGGCCTAATTTACATTTGGATAAACACGAGGTAAAATGACATTTTGGGGGATTTTGGGGGCAAACGCTACGACCTGAAATGGCCGTGGCGTTATCAAGGGAATGTGTATAGACGGTTTCCGTCTCTAAAGAGAGAGCCGGCCGACCCTACCCCAATAAGAGGCTAACGAACGAAAGAGACGGAAAATTCGGTCTAGGCGTGTATATGCTTCACTTTTGAAGGCAGAATGAGCGATTTGTAACGCTCATCGTAAACGCTCATCGTAATCGCAGTTCCACGGTGTACTGTTTATGCTCACTTCTCAGGCTCCTCCAGGCAATTCTCCCTGTGTGACCTTAATTGGTCTTCCAGCTGGATTCGCAAACCTTCACTATGCATGCTACGTAGACCCACTAGAGGTCAGTGCGTTGACCCTATTTAAACGCGTTTACAAATTGTAAACGCATCTTTTTGTGAGTTTACAATCGGCGATCATGATCGCCGTTTTTTGGGTGATTCCACAAAAGTGAGCATGGACGCAACCGTGTTTTAAACTAAACTCGTAACAGATGCCTGATTCTGGCCAGAAAAAGTGAAGCATAAACACGCCCTAAGATAGACATTAATCAAGGAGAGGGAGGACCAGAGTCTAGATGTAGATCTATCTACTATAAGAAAATGTAGGCCTAGACTTAGTCACGTTCTAAGTTTCTAACAAAACAGTTAACAAAACTGTTCAATAATGTTATTATCACACCTTAACTTCAGGTTTAAAAGAAATGCAGAATTCATTGTGAATTAGAATACAAAAAGGTCAGGATGGCCTGGGAGGGGGGAGGGGGTGTGTTGATGTTGAATGAGGTCCTACTTAGCTGTGATGTTCAGCAGTAGAAACCCTGATGGTTACCATGATTCAGTTCACTTGTCCCTTGCCGGGCACAGGTGATGCCAAGTAATTTATAAATTATAGGTCTAATAGTATTAATAATGCTAGTCTATTCTAGTAAAACTTATAAATTTAGATCACCCTTTAAACAACATATTTAATGAATCTTCTTTTTCTTGCAGCTGATTTATAATAGTTTAGCTGAGGTAGTCGTTAGCAGAAAGGGGTACAGTAAAGAACTTCTGGAGCCTTTCCATAAAGACAGAGATTTTTGGTAAGTACATTTCGACCAGAGATAACTTGTGTGTCTTTTAGTAGTGCTCCCAGAGACAGACATTGACAAAAGGCTCACTAGACTGACAGCCCACAAGACCGACAGCTCATGAGGCTGACAAAACAAAGACATATAAAAGAGAAGGCAGAAATATGTCTCGTTGGTCTTTTGAATCCTCTGAAAAAGTTGATAGAAAGCCAATGGGACCACTATTGCTGGTGTCTTAGGTAGTTGGTCTTGTGGGCTGTTAATCTAGCAAAACACTGAAGTTGTCAGTAGCCCATGAGAACAAAATAGTTTGTCTACTGCGCTGTCTCTATTGTAAATTGGTCTTGTGGGCTGTAGCCCTTTTAGAATGGTATAATTGATCATTAACCCAATCTGCAGCCTGACTAGCAGACCAATTTATTGATGATTAAGAACTGTAAATGTATGGCTGTAATTCCCAAGCCCACCAAGGACTGAATTCCAGAACTACATTGTAAGTCAGAACAATACACGACCAATGACTGACTACTACTATAATGAACGTTCTTTGTATAGCTCATATCATTAACACAAAGAAAGTCCCTGTTCTCAGTATTAAACCTTGTAAGGCCTCATTGATGTACGGGTTGTTGGAAATTGGAAGCAGTACCTGTACCTCAGCAACCTAATCGCATAATAAATCATATCACATTAAACAAATTCAAAGAATTAATACATGACATTTTATTAGGTAGCCTACTATTCATTCCAACTATTACGCATGCATAACCAATCTAAAACATGAAATTTTATTATATAAATAAGATTGTCTCATGTGACGGCAAAATGGTAGTCTAACAAGTAGCCAAATGACTAGTCTAGCAAACTTCTACAACTTTCAAGCTAAAAAAATCAAGTTAAATCGTAACAAACAATGTTTCTTAAAGGAATGTTGTCATTCAAACATAACATCAAACCATGTCAACAGGAAATGGCCTTGAATTGTCACATGACCCCTTCCACCATTGGTCCCAGTTTGGAGCTGCCATTCTCCGGTACTTTCCATATCTGACAGATCTATCATCATCGAGGAGACGTTCCACGACTTGACACATCATCGTAGGCTCCAGGAGACGCTTCTCGGGGATGCTCTCCACTCGCCATCTCTTCTTCCATTCAAAGAATTTGTTGTAGATGTCATCGTGGCTATCTAGATGGCAGAGGTAGTTTGCCAGCTCCTTCAAAGTCGAGAACTGCTGGATGTGAATGAAGGAGCCTGGAGGTAGTACAAGATCATAGTCCTCCTTTGGTGGACCATAAACAACTGGTACTAAATTGTTTTGAAAAGCATCCCAGGCCTTTGTGATAAAGTTACGGCAATTGCAATCTTCAAGAGCAAGATAGAATTTGTGACGCTCAATGCCCTTCTTGCAGTTCTGTGTATTGCATTGAGGAGTCCTACCACATGGTCCATAGATATCAACAGGGACGAGTTTGGCAAGTTCCTGGACAAATGTCAATCGCTCCCACTTCATGGAAGAGCCGCTGCATTCTTGTTCAATCCACACGGCAAGCTTGTCCTTTCCTTCTGCCCAGTTTGTTGAATTCTGAGAAACTTTCTCCATCTCTGTAACTTTGCCAAAATCTCCAAACAGATTTCTCTCATACAACCTGTAAGACATGATGTAGTCGTATGTGTTATTATGGTACTTGACGGGTGGTATGATGTTCCTCTGGGTTCGGACTGGACTCTGAGCTGAATAGAAGATCCATTTCTGCCCTAGTTTCTTATGCTTGTGCATCTCAGCCCAGTCCCAGGTGGAGAGATAATGAAGAAGGACTGCATCACTCGTCTCCATGGTTTCAAAGCGGGTATCCTCAATTAGCCGAAGACTACAAGGTAGCCCTTGACAGGGGAAGTCCGTTCTCTCAGTAGCCAAGTGGAAATCGTGTGTCCATATTTGGACCTGTTTAAAGCAAGGTTCTTGCAGCTCAACAACTATCCTTTCCTTTTCATATCGTCGTCTCCTTGATGTTTGTGTTAAGGCTATGCTGTCATTCAGAGCACTTTTTACGCCATGTTGAGCCAAGATTCCTACCCTCCTGTGCTGACTGGGATCTCCTTCGAGCATGTTGCCATCTCCATCTTTCCCCTGTGCCGGGCCTCCAGGATGGATTCTATAGTCTCTGCTCGGAAGGGCCACTTGAGAGTCGGGCTGAGAGAAGTAGTCATGTTGATAAAGGTACAGCAGGCATAGCATCATGCAGTAAAGGATAAACAGTGATCCTTGGCAGCGCCGCATCCATCGGGGTACACTTGCCATTGCACTGGGATTTAAAAGATGAGGGAAAACAATCCAAAGGGTGTCTTAGAGTTGTAATTAATTGTGAAATGGTATGTGAGAAATGGTTTCTCCCTAATTTACAAATCATGATTCTTTAAAGCTCCACTGTATATGTTGCTGTAAGCCACATACATGTAGGTTTTAAATACTGACATGATAAAGCGTAATGTGATAAACTTTTCTGGATCCTATATCTTACAGATAAGTAAGCATTGTACCATTGTTGTGCTCAGATACTTCTTTTTTTCATCCCCACTTGTCATTCATCTGTACACTGTATGTTATACAACATAGTGCCACAGGTTCCCCCATTTGGTTTACCCCATTATGTGTGAATTGGACTTAAAGTTGATACTCTAAGCAAATAAATGTCCCTTAATTTGTTACCTACGGCAAGTATATGTTATTTTTAAGTTTTTCAATTACTTAGTAAATCACAAAAAAATTCTGTCTACTCGAAATCCTCAATTGAAATGTTGAAAATATCCGCCTCTCTTTGCATAGAAAATCAGTCACGGCGCTGGTCTACTATTTATGACCTCACGTCCGGGAGAGAGTATATTCACGTACCCGGATGTTCCATAGCAAACATGTGCAGAGTGATACGATTTTCTGCATATTTTTGTTTCAAAGGCTGAAAAGTCTAATAAATCATAATTCTATGTACAATTCTTTACCTTACCCTAGTACTTCATAGTATTAATATCAATTCCCCTTTTAAAAATTATGCATGCCAACGATGTGCTATTAGTCGATATTTTCACCATGTAATTTTTGTTTTGGTGTTGAAATCGGCCCATGCAGGCACGGAGTGAACAGTAGCTGTCTACCCATGCACAGTTCATTACCATACACTACAGCGATCTCCCGATGGTTTCTTCTTCCTTTTTTCCATGTCTTTTGCCTTCCTTGACCCTGAAGATCCTTCATCTACCAATTCTGACACCGGTAGCCAGGAGCAAGTCTTTGTTAGTTGTTTTTCTTAGCTGGAAACGTCGCTTTCATTCTCTTGCAATTGCCGATAAACATATAACTAGCGCACGTACGTTCCATCACAAGCAAGCAGCGCCTAGAGCAGCGGCTTGGTATTCCTCCCGATTCTGCTCGCTTCACGAATGTTCATGCAAGAGCCGCATCACTCGCCAAAATATTATAGAAGAAGCGCGCTTGCATGATCTCGTTCAAGTTTGATATTTTGCCACATAAAATGTTTAACTGGTACTGTATCCTTTTTTGAGGCAGTCACACACATCTATGATAATTACTATCATAGTTCTAGACCTATTCGTTTTACAAAACTGCTCCTGTACCTTATCTGATGACAATATAATGCATCCGCCTATTCATACGTGCACGATTTAACTTTAATTCCTAAGCAGTAAACTCGTCTTCAATCTCTACCAAATAGGTGAATATGAGGATATAAAAAGAAATCAGCGACTGGAAAATGTTGCTTCGTTATTCTTCATTCAAATGAAAACAGAAAATCCATCAAATATACTCCTTAACAACAACAAATCTAAGCTCTGACAGGATAGCATTTACGTAGGGATATCACTGCCATTCACTCTCACTGAGCCCATGACTCCCGTTCGTGACGTCACGGATAGAGGCCCGACTCTACGTGCACTTCCGGGTTTCAGACTTAGATATTTTGGTAGAGTTTACTCGAATAAATTCATTATTCTAAACTTGTTTTGTCGGGTGGACACCATTTGGTGTTATGATGGGGGTTAAAAGCTTTCTATTTATGTAATTATCTCAGTATTTGGGATTGTCTTAGAGTATCAACTTTAAGAAGTGAATTAGGCTCGTTGATTGCAGGGCTCTCAGGGAGTACAGTTTTAACACTGATCTGGCTACTATTGCTATTTTTGTTGTTATTATTATTATTATATTTTGTATTACTTCTATTAAGGTAAAATATCAAATACAGTAATATAGAACCCCTTCTCTTTTTCACAAGCTATAGATGAAGAATTTGGGTTCATTTCAGTTTTATTTTGATATCTGCTAAAATAATGAAAGAAAGAAGATGTAGGCTGCAGGAACATAAACTTTGAGAAACCTAATCTTATTGATGAATCATCTGAGTTTTCATAAATATTTGTCTGTTTTATGAAATTCAAATATTATTGATTACGAAACAAACTTACAATGATTTTGCACTGATTAGTCACACATGGGCAAGCAGAAGCTCAGTCACGAAACGGTCATCCATTGTTAAAGTTTTTCCATGATTGAAATCTTTTGCAAATGTTCAGTCATCCAATATTTATGGCTTTCATTCAACCTGGTTGTCTCAAGAGCAAATAATCTTTCTGTGAGAGTTTTGGCTGTATTGTTTTATATGTACCCAGTTCTGTATGACTGAACCAGAAACCAACACACATACAGAAGTTCTGACTGTGCGGTTTTGGATGAAAGTCACGCTTGAGAAGGCTGTGAAGTTGACAAAAAGTTGAATTGGAAAGAATTCTATAACAAGTGGCATGGAAAGATATGTGTCATGCATTCTGACTTGGAGGTCATTCACACAAGTCCCTTTATCTCAGCCATGTCCACTTCACACGTAGCCATTGAAGTCACTACCATTGCGCTTGTACTGTACAGCTAGTAACTTAAGCACAAATTTTTAAACATTGTTGCGACAAAAACTTTTGTGGATTGCAGAAATGTCCATGTACATGTACATGTATGTCACACAGGCATGTAACTGTTGATAATCTAGATAACACTTCACGTGTGATACGATTTTATTTGATCATTAATTACCTGAAATTTATGTCACATAAATACAACAATTACAGTGTAGAATACATACATTGTACACCAGTTAGAATACATACACATATAGAGAGAGAGAGAGAGAGAGAGAGAGAAAGAGAGAGAGAGAGAAAGAGAGAGAGAGAGAGAGAGAGAGAGAGAGAAAGAGAGAGAGAGAGAGAGAGAGAGAAAAAAGGGGGGGGGGGGGTGAGGAGAAGGGAGATTGAAATTTTTGAGATACTATTTGTTTATATATCTCTATTCTCTAATGATTGTTACCCCGGTAACATTGTCCTTTTCTCCTTCAAATAATTCATAATATCAAGAGTAGCCTACATGTAAATTTAATAAGCCTTTCAGAGAGGGCAGCCATCACCAACTTCACAGTCACTGTACTCATGTTCTGTCTTTCCACTCTATTTAGCACAAAGGGGCTAGTCTTCGATGCCAAGAAGGGAAACTTCCTGAAACTGTCCAGAGAGGGCGACATTCTCAGGGCGAGCCATGGGACCACACCCCTCAGCCAGGATGAGGTGTGTCGGATCTACGGTAGTCAAGCACGATGGGAACACTTTGACTTCTTGAAAGATACGCTCAAACAAACAGGTGGGACTTAGGCTAGGATGTACGATACTTTATTCAACATGTTACTAATTCTCTCCTTCCCCTTGGTTTGATACAGGATCTACTTGGTTCCTGGAGGCAATGTGTTAAGGGCTTAAATTTCCTAAGTGGAATTGCCTTTAAAAAAGATTGGATCTTTCCTCATTTTAACACTCTTTAAATCTTGACTTTCAATATTTTTGTTTTTGGTTCATACTCTTTCAAATACCTTTTTTTCAAAGTTAAAGAAGACTATTTATATTGCCACTTGTTATGTATTTCTTGCATGATTGAGATAAGGATAACAATTTTTGTAAATATTTTTTGAATATTCTGTTTTAAGTTTTCATTTCTTAATGGGCTTGTGATTTTGTAAAACCACATGATCTGAATTGACTTTGCAAAATCCTGCAGAGCAATTTGCTAGTCTACTGTGACCTTGTTTGCTGCCATCTCTTGGCGTGTATCAAGTCTTCTATACGATTAGAGGCAAAGGCCTAACAAAGCAAATTAATATTTGCACAGAATCAATTCTCAAGTTCAGTCAAAGTTCATACCCCGTGTCACACAATAGGATACTTTTTTTTGGTGCTGCTTTCTTAGAACCAGAAGGGAGGTTGATTTATGTAAACCAATATGCATTTCTGGCTCTCAGAATCTAAACAAATTATTGTTAAATCACCGTTTCAAAAGGATGAAGAGTAACCACTTAAAAATTGTCAGATTAACGCTTTTAACATACTAGATGTAACCTTTGTATAATGTTGGATCCAGCTCGTTCAAAGTGTTCCCCTATTATTTTGAAAAAAAACAGTGGTCACGTCTCTTTGGCCCTTTTAAATGTTGTTTGACATTTTTTATTTTTTTAGAATGTAGGATTATTACTACATGTACCTGTCTCACTCTAGTCTGCAAGCACAAACCCTGGTCAGTCGTAAAAGTGAGTCTGCACTATAAGACTACCATAGGCCATGTACTGTAGCTGCTCCTTCACTACAACCAGTAGGTACATGTAGCTTGGCTAGACTTCTCTCAAGGCACAACGATTTGTTGATAAAGTGTTAAATTAGGGTCTGTGCCTGCAGACTAGTCTCACTCTGTGCTGAAATAAAAGGGAGTGCATCCACCAGTCGTACTCTTGTGTGATCTTACTCTTATTGAAACCATAGTCCACATCAACAATCACGTCAATTAGCATTCCCAAACACCAACACCATCATCACCAACACACAATACAGCTAGAATTCACCTGTGCCATTCCCTTCACAACATATGGTCAGCTGAGTGCAAGAAGGCTGGAAAAGCCATGTAATGTCAACGACAGTAACAGCCTTCTTGTAGACAGCCCATTCTTTCTCGTTTTTGTTTGAGGATTTTTTTTTCTTTTCCATTTTCTTTCTCCTATTGAAATTGAACACCACCTTCCCTTAAAGGCCCACTGCACTACTTGTAGCTACTTGCGCCCTCTATATAACAAACAATGCCTAATCGGTGACCGTTGGTCCCCCATGATCCTTTTTTTCTTATGTTAACTGAGAGCTGAGTTGATGAGATAACCACCTGTCCAGTGACCTTGCAGGGTGCTCTAATTCCTCCTGTAAACTATGGCAGATAAGCTTTAATACATGTTCATGATTTGATCTTAGAACTTTGATGGATATCTTTTCTGATATTCATAGTTTGTTTAATAAACAATTGACTACTTTCATAACCCTGTCAATATGTTTCTTATATAGGACGCAATCTCTATGTATGCTACGTGTACATGTATGTGGTTCACACATTGAATATACTACTCTCAACCATTTCAGAAGTTTAATTAATAAATGACAAACAACATGTGTCATCCAATCTCATTGATTTATTCAGTCTCTTTTCAATTGAGCCAAAGGATGAAATAACATACAAACATACATTATAAACTATGTACATGTACAGCTCTAACAGTGCTGCTATTACTTTCATGATGTGGAAATAAATTTGCAAATATGATTTGTGTTTTTGCGGCAAGGAGCTTCATGAATTGCAAAATTTATCTTGCGGCGATTCCATCATTTACAGTGTGAAATATCCGTAAGTCTGAAGCACTTACAAAATTGGCAAAGTTTTCTCCCCCCCCCCTCAAATTCTGGTTTTACCCTATGAGGTACCTGTACCCTACTCTCATCAACAGTCTCTTTAATGTGTATTGATACAGAGACAATCATTAAACAAAATTGTCCTGGGTTTAATGAAACCATTAGTAAGTTCTGCTTACAAACAAAGAAAAATGTTTCTGTAATTTGGATAATGCTGTAAATTATAGAATGTTGTTAAACAAATTCAGATCTGATACAAAGATAGGATTTGATTCCAAATTAATCTTTAATTTCAGACTGAAATAAAAATAAGAGAAATGAGTGAAATATATTTTTGAAATCAATAATGTGCAATACCATTTAAGCCAACGGGTACAGCATACAGTGGAAGAGCTTTTAAGTTTCTGGCATTACAGTGATTATAAGAATACAACTACTGGGTATCTCCGTGTATAAGACGCTCCTTTTTTCTGCCGAAAAAAAAAAATGGAAATTAGGGTGCATCTTATACACAGGCACAAGACATTTTGAGTCCTTAAAATGCTACTTTTAAGTGATGAACGACCATCTCTGTGTCTCAACATAATGCTCTCAACAAAAATTAGCTTTCGTTACTTATTTGAAGGGAAGATTTATTTTGTATTTTTGGGGTATTTTAGTGTCGATTCATGCCCCTCCACCTGGCACTGTGCCGGGGGGGGGGGGGGGTTTCCGGAAGAGCACAGAGATAGCACCATGAGTAAAAGTGTCTCCTAGTTCAGTCATAAGTTCCTGGCTTTAATTCAATTTTTTTTCAATTCAATTTGATTTTATTCAAGTCCATTTAAAAAAACTACATTGAAAAACATTGTACATTGAAAAAATATTTACATGTAGGATACATAGTATACATTGAACTTTAAACACACAATTAAAAAGAGAAGTAAAGACAAGAGTAAGAAATGAAGGAAATAGATAATGAACATGAAATGGAAATTGCAAAAGAACCAAATAAAGGTTCTGTCGAGGCAATTCCCAGCTTAATAAAATACCCAAATTTTTACTGATAAAGAACAAAAAGAGTTTAAAAGTTATAAAAGTTTAAAAGTTATAAAAGTTAGGATGGATTAATTATTTTGTAGATTTTTTGAATACAAAAACCTTAAGTTTTGATTTAAAGCTTTACAGTGATATAAGAATATAAGTAATTACAATTTTGGTTAATTTTATCCTTACCATTTTTTTCATACAACCCTTTGATAATGTCTTCATAGTATAACATCTTTAAGGGCATTGCCATTCACATGATCTTCATTTTGTGTAATTGGGTTTTTTACAGACTCGTTTCAATCAGATATTATTATTTACGTCTGGGGACCGACCTGACCTTTAACGTCACCATCCGAAAGACGTGACTCAGATTTGAACCGGGGTCTGTCTGAGTCGGTTTGTAGGCGAAGACAGGAAGCTGATTGAAACCAAGTCACATTTTGAAAAGACAATACATTTATTTCAAATTCTTTATGTTTCATGATTTGACTTTTGACTAAAGCAAATACCTTAATAAAATGAGATCAGATTTGGCAACATTCACGCACATGATATCCATGTGGAAAGAATTCAACCTAGGCCAATTTTATTGAATGGATGTATTTCAGATTCAGAACTCTTGCTGCTTTATGGGCATGAACAAACTCATACTGAAGATAATGCAGTGAAGGGTCCCTTTTCTTTGCTATCTGAAACATACTTTTTAGGTTCTTGCATCCATATTTTGAAATGATATATCATGCCAAAAGGATACAAGAAGAGCAGGACAAATAGGATACAGCACATGACACCAAATGTTGCCCTGTTTTCAGACAACCAGTTGTCAGGGTACGGAATACCAGTTTCTAATGGCACCTCAGTTGTGGTTGTGTTTTGCGGTATTGTTATGTTCTTTATTGAAACAATGGTCGTAGTAGTTTCAACTTGTGGAAGAGCATACAATACAAACTGAGTACAGTTTCCTGGTGCAAAGACAAAATCGCTGCTTTCTGTGCAACAGCCGATGGAAGCATCCTCAAGAAAGAATTTGTATTTTGCTTCAATGGTTTCAGAACCCTCGACCCCTAGTAGGATATTCTGTAGCTTCTCACTCCCTTCATAGCAGCTAATCCTGCCTCCACTTGGGTACCCTTGAGTGGCATTGCAGATGATGGTGTCATTGGTAACGATACACTGTGGATCTGAAGGCGTGTAGAAGACTACCAAGTCAATGTTCTCCTCCACAAAAGAATCAGTTGCAGGATTCACGTGCAGGGTATATGTCCCAGCATCTTCTTTCTCCGCACTCTGAATGTTCACATGCATGCTGGATAGTGTGTCCTGGATATCCAATCTGCTTAGCTGTTTGGCAGGAAGTGACCCTTCTACAGGAGAGCCATTCTCATAGATGATCACATCATTGAAGAGGAGGGAGTAAACACTGGTCTCTTCAAGAGGCTCCTGAAACACCAAGGAGATGGAATCACCCTCATAGACCTCACTAGCAAAGATGGTTGCAAATGCTAGCAGAACAAGCATTAGAGTATATAACAGCCTCATTTTGTAGAAAGGTGGTTCACTCTGCTCTCAGCTGGAAATTGAGCCCTAAATTGAGGAAAAAAGTATACCATTCATGAATTACACCATTTCTCTTGAAACTTGTGGTATATAGTTCTTCCAGATTATCGGTGAGAAAATCCTAAATGAATTTACTTTTATGATTGGAATACATAGTCAAATAAAACGAAAAGAGTGGTAGATTTAAAACAATCAGAGAGAGAATATGATTTATTTGACTAAATTGAAGATGCATAGCACTTACAGCATTTCATCTCTATTGATACTTGCTGCAAAGGTGTTTAAAGGTATTACAAAGTTTTGGGAAATTTTGAAAAATGGGTGGATAGTGATTCTTTACAATTTCGATATATTTGGATGCCCCTGTGGATGTATTAAAAACACCAGAAATTTTAGC